GCCAACTCCTGACGACCACTGGTGCCCGAGCTATGAATTTCCGGTCAGACAGACAAACACATACACACAGACACACACGCACAACCGCTTAGCCGATTATATATAGTAGGATTCGCGGCGCTAGCGCTATTTTGGCGCCGTTTTTAGGATATCATATATATATATATATATATATATATATATATATATATATATATATATATATATATATATATATTATATATATATACAGGGGGGGCCAAAAAAAAAAGACATTTTGCCTATGTCGGACTTCGGCTCTTTTTTCTTCGCAGAGATTGCTGTCGTTGACGGGAGTTCCTCAGCAGAGTATTCCCTAAGTGTTCCTCTATTAGTGTACGCAGGCTCTCCTTCACTGCCCTCACCGTCTTCAGAATATGACGTCATCTGTCACCGTCGTCAGGCTCAAGGAGGTCTACCGTAAGAGCTTCAGCCTGAAGCTCTTACGCAATTTCGTGAATCGATTTAATGTTGGATAGTTTTCTAGAGGCATTAGCTACCACTGTGCAAATCCCCTCGGAACTAGCTTTCCAGTAAGGGTCGTTATGGTACACGATCCTTCGAAGACCCCATTGAGATCGACCAGTGCACCATGTTTCCAGGGCTAATTCTTCTGATGCCGTCCACGTACGTGGCCACTATGAAGATTTTCTTATAGAATGGAATGCACTCTTTAATAATAAGTTGGAACCGTTCGGTCTGAGTTGAGTAAAATGTGCTTAAATCCATCTGGAAGTGGAGGCAAAATGTCTTTTTTTTTTTGCCCCCCCCCTGTATATATTCACGGGAGAGGCTTCCGTGTAATGCGCGCGGTAGCGGGCGGAGCTAAACTGGTGAATGTCATATTCGTAATCAGGACACCAAATAACCCCTATACGGAAGTTTACACCAAATTTGGTGAAAACGGTGTCGTGACAAGGTGACGCCAACTGGCGCCAGATGCGCCACCGCTAAAAATGAAAGTCATTTTCGTAATCAGGGCATCGAATTACCTCTATAGGCAAATTTACGGTAGTTTCTAAGGTGTACAAAATTACACTGCACGAGCGGAGGTGTTTTTACGTGAAATCAGCGCGGGCTTATCTACCTTAAATTAGGGTACGTCTCATTGTCCGTCATGGCCTGCAAAGTGCGGGACGTATGCTTCCTGCGCTGTCGTCCGTGTTAAGCTGTCTAGCGAGTAGTGTTGTATTTTCTCGGATTGAGAGTATTCCTGTAAGTGAGAGACCTCACCGTATTCGCTTGACTTTTCAAACTTCTAAGGTCAGTGCCACAAGCGATCGTTTTCAAACTGATGAGAACATATTCCAGTGGGAGGTAGAAGCAGTGAGGGGAGGCTGTCCTCGGTGGAACGCCTTGACACTGGAAAAGAGGATCTTATGTGGGAGAGCATTGCTCCAATGAATACGTCAAGGTACGACAATATACTAGGTAGATATCGTTCCCAGCAAAAAATGTTTGAACAAAGTACAAAATTCAACATCCCAAATGGTTCAAAACACATTTTCTTCTTTAGGACTGGGCCTGGTGTTGCAGTTCTCGGCAGCTTCCTCTACGTTGTAGGCGGTTATGATGGGCAAAACGACTTGGGTAGCTGTGAGAGGTGTGTGTGCTTTTCTATAGACAAAGAATGAAGAACAGTGTCAACACAGCATGATCTTTCCCAGAAAACATATAATACACGATGATTTTTCCAACAAAAAAACACTTTCGACTTATTATGACGTGGGTGCAAAAGTCTCTGACCATATTTCCTTCTTTTTTGATCAGTGTTTTACAACGTTTCAATTAACAATTAACGGAAAAGTGTTAGCTTTCTCCAGGTACCATTGAAATGCTGTTTATCCTCGGAACTCGGATTTTGAACCTTCGAGGCAAGAAACTCGAAGGCATCTTTCTAGTTAAGAAACTGTTTCTTCAAAGCTGTTCACTCTGAATAGCACCTTTCCTGAATAAAATAGTTATGGTACACCTAGGGGTGGAAGTGGTGTAGTGGCAAGTGGCACGCTTACCACGCGAGCGGTCCGGGGATCAAATCCTGGGTCGTGAGTCGCCCGGGCCAACCAAGCCTTCCATCCCTCCGGGGTCGGTTAATTGGTACCAGACTTGTCTGGGAGGATAAAAACACTGACTTGTACATCGGCTGGCCCCCGCAAGTCATTGTATAGGCCACATCGCATTCAAACGCCACTCCGAATCAGGGTCAACCCTACGTTGTTACGAGTAACAACGGGGGGGTCGTACTCAGTTGAGCTTGGAGGGGGGGGGTCGTACTCTCTCGGTGGCCGGCAGTGGGATTCTTGGTGATATCCTACTGATCATGGATAGTGGTACGAAGGGAAGAGCAAACGCAGCACAGAAAGTGTATATTATGTAGTGTATATAGTGCAATTATGCAAAGCCTTCTCCCTGCAAGGACGCAGTCATGAAGAGGAAGACATGCAGCATCGTCTGAAAAAAGTACTCGCACCATGACATGGATAAAGCCGAGACCACATATGAAACTATTGCCTGTAGAAACATGGATAATAGCCAGCACGTTACGTTTGCGCAAGATGACTGATACTAGAGCATCTATAAACCACGCTTCCCTCTAAATGAGCTTTCAAATGAATCAGCGAATTAGAAGGGCGCCCGAGGCGTGGCGCGCACCAAGGCAAGGGATGTAGTGCAAGCGCATGCTCGAAGCTTTCTAGCACATCCTAAATTAAACATGAAATTGGTCTTCCAAGAAGTTACGGGCAGTGAAACCTAAGAAAACTCGCGTTTTCGAGAAAATGGCTTGAAGAATACCCCTCAAAAAAAAGTAACAACGGGACTAATTTTTGAACTGCTGATCTTTCAGGAACGCTTGGGTGCTCGTTAGAAAGCTTGAATCCTGTAGTTTATTATACCGTGTTCAGCTTCCCAAATGAATGACTTTGAAGGAAGTTATGATCGTTTGAAGGTAAAAAAGTCGCGGTTCCAAAAAAATAGTAACGCAAACCCCCAAAAAAGTAACAACGGGACTAATTTTTGAACTACTGATCTTTCAGGAACGCTTGGGTGCTCGTTAGAAAGCTTGAATCCTGTAGTTTATTATACGTGTTCAGCTTCCCAAATGAATGACTTTGAAGGAAGTTATGATCGTTTGAAGGTCAAAAAGTCGCTTTGCACAGAAAAAAGTAACAACGTACTAAATTTTTATTAAATTAACTTTCGAAGAATTTTTACCCATGGTTGGAGAGAGAATAATTTGAATTTTCCAAATCAAATCACTTCGGCGCAGAAGCTCGAATATGAAGGAAGTTATAGCCCTAGAAAGAGGAGTGTAAAAATTGTGTTGCAATTTTATTTTTTGCCTAATAACTTATTCATTCCGAAGTGTTTGAGAACAAATGAGCACTCGTTAGGAAGAGGAGCCACGTCGATCCAAAATCCACCTGAATCTTCCGAACTACCTGAAATGTTAAAAAAAAACTCGAATTTTCACATTTC